CAGATCGCAAATTTGATTAAAACCACAGCTTAGATCAGAAAAGCTGAATCCCATCTCGGAACCTCTAGCCAATTCAAAGCAAAATCAACACAAGTTGATGCTTTTGCTGTTTTCACTCACGAAAATCACTCTCTTTTAGTAGTAGCACTTCTTCACCGGCACAAGTGATAGTAAAATTGACACTAAAAATATATGGACTCTAAAGATGCACAGCTTAGATCAGGCGATGAAGAAATCCCTGATACAGATTTCAGTCAAATCCAATAGAATATCAACTTGTAGAATGTTAGGTGCCGTTTGGATTGGAGTCAAAATAAATAGAGGTGCAAGTGCATCTAAATTTTAAGGTATATAGTTATAATTATGTTACCAAATTATAGTTATTATTATGTTACCAAGTAATTGTGAACCAAACATGAATCATGGGGTTTATTCCAATTTTTCGTTCCGAAATCTTTTTACCAAACGCCACCTAAATATATATTATAATTATTTAGTTAAATATAATTATAATTATATAATATATATTATAAATTTATTTATATTTTATAACAATATATTTATAATATATATGTATATTTATAAATGTATATTATATGTACATATAATTATAATTATTATTTTAAATATAATAATATATAATAATAGCTATATTTAATATGTAATATATAATTAATATTTGTATATATTATATAATTATAATTATATTATAACATTTGTATATTTATATTTAATTATATATATAATATTTAATTTAATTAGTTACAAACTTATAATAATATTATTATTAGTTATATGTATTATATAATATATATTAATCTATGTAATATAATTGATATTATTAATTATACTAATAATTATGCATGTTAACTAATAGAAATTATTAATTAGTTATACTAAATTTACTAATACATTTATACTAATATATTTAATTAATGAAAATTTCTTATATCCCATTTACAAAGAACCAACGAACCAAGCATCAACTACAGTAATGATATACATTCTTGGCACTGAACCAAACAAAGGTATTGTAATAATTGATTCCATTCCAAATCCAAGATGAATGATTCCGAATCCGAATCCGATTCCAACATGCAAACCAAATGCCACCTAAGTACTTTTTAACTGAGTTTATGACAAAAATAGTTAACTTTTCTCCCTTAACTAATGGGAGAATTTTATTTTTTTTTGGTGTTAACAAATAAGAGGCGAGGTCCCTCTTATTCTGAAGTCAAGAGGAGTGATTCTTGAATTTTATAAAAACTAGAAAGGAAGTTAATATAATTTACCTTATACTAAAACATAATGGAAACTTTTTTTTCTTTTCTAATTTTTATGAAGGAGTCTGCGGTAAAATGTTCATAACTTGTGATGTAATTTATCATTTTCAATTATTGCCATAATGTATATTGGTCAGTAAATAAGAAGGCTTAAAAATATAACGTGTATATAGTATCGTGCACACCTTTATAGATATAAAAAAGCTAATCCAGTGTAACTTTTGCCAAACAATAAGTTGGAAAATTAAGTATATTTTTCAGAATCAGCATTTTGAAAAATTAGGAATGGATAATATTTCGCTGAATTTGGTTTTTAGCTCATTAAAAAAGCATTGGATCGATCAATTTAGGTGTTATGGACTTTGCAGGATTGTAATTCATTGTTCAAGTTAATCCCTAAATAATCTTTTATCAACGTCCTATGATACCCTTGAGGTGATAATTATGTAGGTGATATATAGATTATGGACAAAATAGTCAATTATAATTGAGTCTGTTTGGTTACCATAATTTATAAAAAAGAATTTTCAAATATTATTTAGATTTCATCATAAATACAATTTTTAACTATTTTTTTAATTTCACATACATTATATCACAAAAATTAGGATTAATTTCATTTTGCATCCTTTAACTATATCTAAATTTTCACTTTAGTCCCTAAACTTCAAAATGGGATATTGTTGTCCCTAAACTATAAAATTTGTTCTACTTAAGCAAGATCTTTGAGGAAATGAGCCAGATTATATACTTACATGGGTATATTTTAGGGACTAAAGTATGACTAATTTTATACTTCAAAGATTAAAAATGGAACATGTTTTCAAAAAACTTTAGTGACTAAAGTGGGACAAGTACTATAGTTTAGGGATTTAAATGTTTCACTTTGAAGCTATGTTTTGAAATTTGGACGGGGCAGGGACTCCATCGGCCTTAAGGGTCAGAGATCAATGGGTTCAATCGGTTAGATCAGGGTTAAATCAAATGACGTCATAAATATATATTAATAATATATAAACAAAATAATATATAAAAGTTATCTTTAAATTGGTGGTTTACAACTTCATTTACATATTTGATAAGTTTAGATTAGTTTAAAAGGATTCAATTTAAAAATTTTAAAAATTATAGGTGAAAATATAACTTGAAAAATATATTAGGTTATTTTACACTTTATTAAAATAATGAAGGGCCAAAATGTAATTAACATAAACTTTTAGGGTATTCATCAATGCTAACAGATATCAAACCTAATTCATCTTCTTCCTTGTTTTTTCCGGCCGTCAATTCCTCTTCCTTCTCATCTCCCCCCCCCCCCTCTCTCTCAGTCTCTCTCTCTCTCTTAATCTTCCATTTTTCTTCTTCTTATTCTACACCAGGACTCTATTTTTTCTTTCATCACACACAATAAACAAACATGGAAACTTTTTCTTTTCTTCATTCTTTTCTTTTCCCCTCCTCTCTCTTCTCGTCTTTTTTCTATTTTTCCTATTTAATATGAAATCTTTCAAGAACTTGGAGAATTTAGAGAATGAAAATTTTCTCTTAATTTGGATTCTTAATGAAACATTTCAGACTCAATAAAAAGAACAATTCATCTAAACCATGAATTGATCTCAGATTCAAGCAAAGAGGAAGGGATCTCCCCCTTTTCCTCTATATTCTATACATGACAGCAGAGTTGAGAAGAAAATGATGTGTGGTCATGGCGTAAATCATGCTACAATCACCAAATGAATTGCTTGACATTGACCATTTCATTCGGATTTTTCAATTGTTGGAAAGTTGCAGAGGTACGAAACTCTCTACACGATCAAAGAGAGGGGGGAAAAAAGCCATCAGGATAGAAAAATGGAAAAACCGGCTCATAGCACTGATTTCTTTTCTGTTTAATGTTTGAAAAATTTTTTTAAAAGGAAATTAATGTTTAAAATTCAAGTAGTCGCATAATTTAATGGGTATGACTGGAAGGGAGTTCTATTGCAATAAATAGGACGATGGAACAACAATAAAAATACTTGCGCAGACTACGACGTAACGACGTCCCTCAGCACATACACGTGAAGGAAAGAAAACTTTTTCTAGCACTTGTGCAAGTTAAAAGCCGGTTTTGCTGGTTTTCGATCAAATCCAGATTTGATCGAATTTTTTGACAACCGGCTTTTGAGGAAGATTCGGGCAAAATACCTGATCGGTTCATGGTTCGATCAGTCAGACCGATTAATTTGATTCGAATTTGAAAACATAGTTTTGAAATTTAAGAATCAAAGAATAAGTTGGATCGTTTGATCGTTTGATAGAGAGAGTGTAAACGAAAGATCTCGAACTCAACTCTTACATACACTAGAGAGATGGAGAGAGAAAATCTTAATAAGTTGACATGATGAATAGAATCAGAATGAAAATGGATTTAACCTTCTCCATGAATGGTATATAATGTACACTTGATGATTGCAGGAAAACTGGGAATGCTTTTGAAACCATTTTTGCACTGAATTTATATGTAGGGACCGATTAGTTGATTCGGCATAAAATTACACACAGCCAAATAGATAAGGAAAGAAGATGAAATTGAAATCCATTACTTGCCGAAAGCGTTCTAATTGGCTATGTATTATAGGGACTTAAAATAACCTGACATTTTGGTCCTAACTGACCGTCTAACCTGCTCAATGACTTTGAGAACGTACTTGCTTACATTGCTGCAGCGGACAAGAAACAAATGGAAAAAAAAAAAAAATCTTGTATAAGGTACTTGCTTAGGTGTATATTACCTGATATTTAGATTCACTTTGATAAATCTTTCCCCTATAATTGAATTAAAGTAAAGAAATTTTCACCATATGGCTTCATTACTTAATTGTAGTGTTTATGATGCATCCATATATTTGATTTTTGAACTTGATTTTATTTCTCCCCACCAATTTTTTGAGAAGTATAGTACTCTATGAGTAATTTTGATAAGAATGAAGTATTAAATAATCCAAAAGTCTCTTATTTAGTCATTTAGTTCCTTAGAAACTTGTAATTTGTTTTTTGTCAACTAAATTATTTATGTGGGGTGTTATCAAGAAAATAAAATATATATTATTTCAACACAAATAGTAGTATGATAGTTAGTTTGGCTATTTATGCTTTTTAAATAAAAATCTATACAGGTTGCCCATGCACTTTCTATTCAAATAACGCAGACAATGCTTGTTTCTTTCTTTTTCTTTTTCTTTTTTTTTTTTTTTTTTTTAAAATGTCATCATTGTATAAATCAGACTGGCATAAGACTGGATTAATAGTTACAATTTACTTACATAAGACTGGCATCTGCCAGAGAATCAGTGGGTGCTTCTTTCTTAATCCACACAGGAAAGCTTTCCTTCCATCCACCTAGTAGCGTCAACAAGGTTAATGGCGAATTTTGCCAACCCTTACAACTGCTATTACATTCCCTCTCAATGAAGGTGAATGAACATAGCCAAAAGGCCCTACTTAGATATAAGATATCATCTACCAGCACATCTAAAGAGGAAATTCCATTACATTTCAAGTTAATTCTGTCAACTAAAGCCTTACAATCAGAATGAACCAGAATTGAAGTCGAGTCCACGTCCATTGCCTTGAGCAGGGCAGTCCTGATAGCCTCAGCTTCCAAGATAGCAGCAGCAGCATCTCTGACTGTTGTTGGAAATGCCCAGATGGTAACGAGGCTGTGATTGTGATTCTTCACAGCAATACTAGGACCCCCTTTGTTCTGGATTTTGTTTGAGGTGGCATCTGTGTATGTATATAAGCACTGAGTGTTGGTTCTGGAATGCTCTTAGCTCTTCATGCCTTCTTGTGGTTGGGCCCGTATCATCCTTTTCCATATTCCTCGAGCTTCCAAGCTGTTTGCATTCATACCATTCATCCATTGCCTTCTCTGTGATTTGTAGCTAGGACGTCAAGCCTATCATTATTGAAGTTCTGCATGTTTCTGGCTTTCCATATATATTTGTCACAGAAAATTTGCTATGGCTTCGGTATGACGCAGTCCATCTGCGCTCCTTCTAGCTTCCTGTAAAGCTTCCGACCAATTCCGGAATTTCCACTTGTGTTCCTTCAGTCCGTCCTCCCATTTGATTGGAAATGTCCTCTCTCGCTTTACAATGAAACAGTAGGTGCTCTAAGGTACTTGTTCTGCTGTGAAGTTCTTCGTTAGTAGGCAAGATATTGTGGAGACATTTCCATAAGAAGTGCTTCACCTTATGTTTGATGTTCAGGTCCCAAACTTGACGCCAAGGCTTCGAATTCGATTCCTCTTTCCTGGTGCTGGTGCTACCATTCTTCTGGTATGGTTTGCATCTTTCTTCAATACTTGATCCATTGAAATATAAAATTTTCATCTTCTTCGCAAGTTCTTCTCGAAAAATCGCTGCCATTTTCTTTCTCCATCACTAATGTGATCACCTCCTCTTATAATGGACTTAATCTTGATTTCTTGACTTTCTCAAGCATCAATTAATCATCAAATACCATAATCATTTGTTTGTTGTTTTTATGCTTGCATTTTTTGCTTTAGATTTTAGAGTGTAAGACTAATGTTTCTTTTACACAGAATTTTGTAGTTAAGGGATGAATAAATAGGTTACGATATCATTCTTGAATGATAATTATTTGTTATTTAGATTAAGAAAAAATGAAAACCATGACACTAAAATAATATCAAACATGCAAAAAGGCAATTGTATACTTTTTCACGTAATCATTTTATTAGTAAATTTGAGTATACCATTTGTGGCCATTCATAAAATAGAGTTATTAGTCTATGTGCAAAGTACTTTATTATTCTACGTGCTAGCCATCTTCATTAAAGTACTGTACTTGGGGCGCCATCGGAATTGAAAGTTGAAACTTGCAAATGCAAGTGCAGGTAGAATTTCTTAAAGAAACCCATGTGGCAGCTCGTAATTGGCATACGTGACACAGCAAAAGTCTTGTATTACAATTTAAGTGTGATGCAAAGTTTGGTATAAAAGGAAGCAACTTTGGGCAGCTGCTCGGAAACTTGCTGATGATAAGAATCGAACCGTTGGGGTGCGAGTTGGAAAAGAACATTTTCGCCTTTAAGAACACCTCGCAAGGTATAAAGTAGCCCTACTGGCCACACACTAGAGCCAAAAGAGAGAAGTCAAATTCTTTACTTGATTCTTGTGATTTGTGTTTCCGAACTTTCAGTTTCAGTAAAGAAAGCAAGGAAGGAAGATAATGTGATTGTGATGGGCAATATTATGTTCTTCCCAAAATTTAGCAAAAAGAGTATCCGTAGTAGTAATAGTAGGGGTGTTTCTGGTTCCATCTCTTCTGCCGACAGTAGCAGCGAGCTAAGACACAGAGGATCAGAACCACCACCAATAATCACAAGAAGAGGACTACCACCACCAGCACCAACTGCTCGTAACCGGCCCTTTTCTTCTTCATCTTCATCTTTCTCCTCAACTTCTTCTTCCCACCTACCACGGCCCACTTCAATTAATATTGGTACCAAAGTTTCTATGGACAGTAGTAGTGGCAGTAACAGCAGCACCATTAAAAGCAGCAAGAAGTATGAGTACATCCCAGATAATTTCTCATCTCTTGATCAGGTAATTCTCTATTTTTTCCCCTTTTCATTTCATTTTATGATTCAGAAATATGGATTTAGTTTGCAGGCAAAGTAAAGTTTCAAACCTTCTGGGAGTAGGTACAATAGTAGAAGTCGTGTACGCTTGTTACATAGTATACAAACTATGGTTTGGTTCACTCTTTTTAAGTACTTTTGGTATTGTACAATTGTGCATTTAACTTGTTCTAACTACAAAATTGTGCATTATTTTGCAGGCATGTTGCCTAGTAGTTTGCAGGCATGTTGCCTGTTTTTTCATGCTTCATAATAGCACAAGCTATTATCTCTTTACATGATTTGTGTAACTTGCGAGCAGAAATAATGTCAGTGTTGACTTGACTTCCAATGGGTCCTGAGTCAAACGTGAAAGAAAAGTTATCAAGTCACGGGCGATACTATTAGAGAAACCAAAAACAAAAAATTAGCTGTTTGTTTGGATAGAGTATTATTTGAAATATTATTTGGAATAATTGTCTAGCACTTTTTATTCGTGATGCGTATGAGATAAAAAGGTGAATGAAAATATAAAAAGGTGGATTGAAAAATGTGTTTATAATACAAACGAAATATTATTTAAAAAAAATTTGATATCCAAATACAGCTGCTGTGAAATTTCCACAGTGACTGCTTTAGATGCATTTAGATGAGTAGAATAAAGGCAGAAGATAAGATTGCGTGTCATACATTATTGGATGTCCCGACTTTGTTTCAAGTTGATTGGGTGAAGGAGACTGGTGACTTGGGTGGGGGGCCTAAATTTAGAAATCAAGAAAAGGACAGAAGAAGGTGTAGCGTGTTGTCATAGAAGAGAATAGTGATTTGAGAAGCCCAAGGGACCATGATAAAGTTGGTAACTTTTTGTTGTGATGGTTGTTACTGGCTGTACGTAATCATCCCACTTTACTTTGAGGCAGAAATTTCTACTCCAATGTGAATGCTATATCCTGCTTCTGCCATAGTATTTGATTCTTCCTTTCCTGGTACAGCATTTGGTTCCTATTTATGCTCCAAACCAAGTTCATCACTCTTTAGTCTTCAGTCTTGGTAGTGGGAAATGAAAAATCAAGAGCTAGTAGTGAAAGAAAATGAGCAAAAGTTTGACGACGTTAACTTAACCTGGCAAATGGAAGTGGCGTAATATTGCACTAGCAGAAACTATTCCAAAAGATTGTTCTTTTTCTTCTTTTTTTTCCCCCACCAATTTGGCTTTGGGTGGAAGGTATCATGACACCTTATTCATATAAGTTGCTTGATCTCTTTTTGACGAACCAAAAGAATGATCATAAGGATGCTGAATATTTGTTAGTAATTAAATTGGTTGTAGTATTGAATTGTCAATTGGCATATCAATAAAAACTGACTGGAACTAATTTAGGAAGGCCCAAATCCTTGATTGCTTGATCAGGAGAGATGTTATTGGACTTTTCCCCCTTTTTGCTCAGATAAAATCTAAAGCATTATTCTTGTGCATTTGTTGAGCTTTCCATTATTCCGATTCGTCTTTTGTGTACACCACTTACAATGCGTACTCACAATGTTTCTGATATTAACACTAATCCTAGTTTGTCTTATTCCAGAGAATGGGGCACTTCCTTTATACTATGAAGTCTAAATTGACAAACCAGTTTTCAACTCTTTCCCCCAGCTTTTGCGGAGTTTGTACTGAAATAGCTGTGTAGTGTGAGAAACATGATCAGGACCTAGGTACATAATCTTGAGGGAGGAGTTTACAGGTTCTCCAGAACGTCTTAGTCCTGTTGTTTGATCAATTAATTAGGATTATTTAGCATATATTTTGAAGTTTTACCATGGAACACTTCAATTTCTGACATATTTCAGTGGAATATGTGATCACTCGTTAATATGTGCAAGAATGTACTTTTGGTTAGTTACTATATAACTTTTTGCATAAACAAAGATTGGAATATTTCTTTGCTTTTACAGGTCACAGAAGCTTTGAAAGAATCAGGTCTAGAGTCATCCAATTTGATTCTCGGGATAGATTTCACTAAAAGCAATGAATGGACAGGTATATGGATCTGCTAAATGAACTCAGCTTGTAGTTGCTGCAAACAACTTCTTTTTTAAGTTATTTTTTCAAATAGATAATTATGAAGTTATGTTATTCCTGCATCAAAATGTTTGTCAAGGACTAAGAAAACTTTGCTAAAACACAAGAGGGAGTCAGTCTCTCTGAATTAATGCTCATCCGGAATGCTATGTCTTTTGATTCTGTTTTGTATAACAATGCAAATAATTAATTACCTTTTCTGATTATATTGTTCACCACTTTCTATTCCATTGCGCTGCTGTATCAGTAGCTTTGCATGCTTGGAACATGTGTTGCTTCTAAAACTTGACTTCATCAAGATGCTGGTATGGCTTGCCTATTCATATTAAGTATGGCCAATTAGAACAACTCATTGGTTTCTAAGACAAGCATTAGCATATTGGGAAGATTGCTTCCATTGGAATATGAAAAGTACAAGGGATTGACTATGTATGTGGGTAATTCACTTATAGGATAACACTATGTTCAGCTCATTTCCATTCCCTACAGCACTGAGTGCCTCAAAGCATTGGTTTAATCCTTGCTTTTCTCTTTGATATCATGTCCTGAGGGCTCAATTTGTTTCACTTCTTTATCATGGAGTAATGCTTTTGCTTTTGATCATTGAAGGTAAAGTTTCATTCAACAATCGAAGCCTACATGCCATTGGTGATGCACCTAATCCATATGAGAAAGCCATATCTATCATTGGAAAGACTTTGGCTCCCTTTGATGAAGACAACTTAATACCATGTTTTGGTTTTGGTGATGGTAGGTTAACCACCAGGAAGTTTAGTTTTCTGTGAACTTCTGTTTTGTCAAACATTTAATGTCTTTTTTTCAAAGCCATTGATCTGTTCCTTTACAGTTACCACACATGATCAAGAAGTCTTTAGCTTTCACAGTGATCATTCTCCTTGCCATGGCTTTGAAGAAGTTTTAGCCTGCTATAAGAGAATAACTCCCAACCTGCAATTATCTGGTAGACTGCTACTATGCTAGTCCAACTCTCTTCTAAGATCTTCATTCTTAACAATTTCCTTTTTTCACTAGACAAATGAGCTATTTTGAAACAGTGATGACTTCAGTAACCAAGAACGTTAATGAGCATCTTAATTGTGTTTTAGGGCCAACATCCTATGGACCAGTAGTAGATGCTGCAGTAGACATAGTAGAGAGGAGTGGTGGACAGTATCATGTTTTGGTTATAATAGCAGACGGCCAGGTCACCTCCTGGTTTCTCCTTAAATGTATAACAGTGATTCCCAATCTCTCTTTTATTTCACAGTTGTGACTGGATATTGCTCATGAAGGTTACAAGAAGTGTTAATACAAGTGATGTAGAACTCAGCCCACAAGAAGCGAAAACCATCAAGTCAATAGTCAATGCTAGGTACAGAAGGATATAGAACATAATTCCCCATTTAATTCTGCTTTCCAATTTGATCTTTGCCATTTAGGCTCATGCAAATCCATCCAGAAAATACTCACTGTGAGTTCTTTATTCCTGATACCTGCTATTGAGAATTAGCATGCAAAGATCTCTGCTACTAGCATCAGTATGTCGAACTTTTGAAATTCTACTGAGCCTTTTTTCACTCTTTTAAATGTTCGATTGGCAATTTAATCAGTAAGAGATTTGACTAAACATTTTGAAATGACAAAAGTTTAGTCTAATAGGCACTGTGGAAGCATAGGAGGTTGTAGGACAGAATAATATCCGGAAATTTGGTATTTTAATGCTTGGATTTGACCCTTTCCATTTCTGCCCTATAAAATCAACCCTTCTGCACACTAAGGGCAAACTTTCAAACTCTCACTCCTCTAAACCCACTGTAAGCTTCAGCTTCGTGCACTAAGTTTCCCTTAAATATAGCAATATATTGAAAAGAATCTTAAGCATGTCTTTCATTTTGAGAATTATATAATTAACAATGTTTTGGAAGGGGAACCATAAATCTTTTTAGTTAGTGAAAGATTGATATAGCTACTTAAAGCTTGCACATCATTAAACAACCTGACCATATTGTTGCAATTGAAACAGATGGTTTTGGAATTGAGAACACAATTCTGCCTTCTGAGTAGTTGTAATTTCATAGTTTTATTGAGTTGGAAGGTTATAGTACTCCTTTCCAGTATATCCTATGAAGTCTGCATTATGTGTCTGTTGGGAACCTGTTTACTTTGAAAGGCATGACTAGCAAATATTAGCTGATCCTGAAAATATTGGCTTTATATTGGTTATTTATGCTGGCCAAGGGCTATGGAGAGTTTCTGATCTGAAAACTGAGTAGTGGACATAAATCATCTGTCTCTGTTGCTTTCTCATTCTTTGGTCAATTGCCACTAGGACAAGCTATCTCTATCTACGTATGCAAACATGGATTAACAGGCAACAATTACTTGTCATTTTCATTCCAATTTTCTTGTCATTACTGCACATAATCCACATTGTGATCCAATGACTTGTTTCTGCTTTGTTTGCTTAATATGTTATGATTGTTCTTCTCGTTGTTTTCACCTCATTTATATGCCATCCAAGTTATTGCAATCAAACTTCTCTCTAATACAAAATAAAGCTCTTTTTTTTCTTCTCTTTCTTGGCAAAGAGTAATGGTATATACAACTATGAAATGCTCTATACTAAAATGCTGTTTATCCTCAGTTTGTATCCACTGTCAATTATTCTTGTTGGAGTTGGTGATGGACCTTGGGAGGACATGAAAAAGTTTGATGACAAGCTCCCAGCTCGTGAATTCGATAATTTTCAGGTTTAAACCTGAAAGAATACAGCTAGTAATTGTCTTTAAATTTGTTATTCAGAGTGGTGGTAAGTCCTTTATTTGTCTCTTTTTCTGCAGTTTGTCAATTTTACTGCTATTATGAGCAAGGACCAAAGTGCTTCTGAAAAAGAAACTGCATTTGCTCTTGCTGCCCTGATGGAGATCCCAATCCAATATAAGGCAGCCAGAGAACTTGGCCTTCTGGGGTATGGAGTGCTTTATCTTTTCGTGTGGCTGATGGTTAGTTATCTATAATATGCTGCGGGAAAGAATATAGCATCAATTTTGTTGAAGACCATAAGAATAGATTCAAAGATCATTCAGAATGTGTCTTAAAAAATTTTAAATAAGTTGAGAAATTTTTTACAGAGATGATGAGCCATAACAGTATAAAGAAAGGAGGCCTCTCCCACCTAATATTTGTCATTTGACAAGTACAATATCTGGAAAATGCCGAGTTTAGACAATTATTTTGCCTGTGCTTCCCATACATCAGTGTAGTTCTCATCATTTAGAACTTATTTGAACTAAAACTGCCATATTTCATTTTGCATGTCTACTCGCGTCCTAGGGGATTAAAATGAATCAATATTGTTTTACGTAAGCTTTTAGTGATAGAATTCAGATGAATTACATTCAAGAAATATGCTTGCCTGCTGTTTGCTTACTTCAGAACTCTCTCTCTCTCTCTCTCAGTCGCGTGACAGGTAGAGCAAAGAAAATAGTTCCACGTCCCCCGCCAGTTCCTTATGCTCGTCGTACAACATTTGAGTCGAGAGAACAAAGCAATCTTTCAGCTTCTCTTCCAGATGAAAGAAGTCAGGTGAGATTTGATATACTGCTTCCCTAAATAAGATTCGTTCAAGTATTTATTAATGCCAAGTGTATTAAATAATGTGGAGCAGAATAAAAGTCCTTGTACTGTTTTGCTTTTCCTGATTATATTTCTCTAGTAGTGTAAGCTACAATGGCCCTCAAGAGCGCTGATTAGCATAGAGGTTAAAACATCATAGAGGTTAAACATCATCTAGTAGTATAAGCTACAATGCTAGGTTCCAGCATAGAGGTTAAAACATCTGTGGAATTTATCTGTGAACTTTCCAGACTTTCCATTAGCAGGGCAAAATTTTTACATTGTTGACATGTATTCTTGAATTGTTTCTTTTGGACGCAGGACTGTCCGGTTTGCTTAACAAATGGGAAGAATCTGGCCTTTGGCTGTGGACATATGGTGAGATGCACTAACTCCTTATATTTTGCTTTAAGACAAATTGCATTTGTTTGATCTCAAGAGATGATAAAATGATTGCAGACTTGCAGAGACTGCGGATCAAGGGTATCAAACTGTCCAATTTGTCGCCTGCCAATAACCAGTCGTCTCAGGCTTTATACTTGATGTTGTAGCTGGTGCAACTACCTAACAGGATATGTACTCCATTTGCTGTTATCTTATTTGCTTTCCATGGTCTGCCAAGATATCAAGTTCTGAAACGGGGTTTCCTATTCTGTAAATATTATGAAGTGCAAAGCACTCAGTAAACGTGTTGTATATTGGTAGTAATCTGTTGCATGTAATTTACTGCTTCTGTAATATGTAATCTCTGAGAGAGACTGATATTTGTACAAGTTAAATCCATCAACATTGGTATGTTTATGAGGATCTAGAGAACTTCAGTCTCTCTCTCTCTCTCTCTCCTGTTTCTGTTGCCTCCGGTATGTGTTCTTTTTTACTAGTAAGATGATTAGATTAATAAGTAATAAAACCCTTCACATCATTACTATTAGAAATTACTGATTCACAATGACACTCATCAGCTTCATATTTCTCTTGTCGCTGACTGTAACAGCAGGCTTTGCAGGTGGAAGTTCAGCATAGATGATTGACTGACTGACAGGTAGAAGAAGTCTATGCCTTGCCATAACAGGCCGGAATCAGAGCTTGTTTCTTGCTTGCATACCAATTTCCATCCTGTTACAGGAAAATTCATTTCATGCATCAGCTGAAAACAAGTTGAAGTTTTTCCTGCATCATTAGTTCATATAAAATGGTAAGAAGCAATAGCATGCGGTTTGATTGAATATAGGTGCGGTATGACAAGGTATATATGACCGGTAAACCAACTCAACTTCTTGAGCCCATAAATTTGATTGAGGATAAAACACAAGAAAAAGTAACAGACATTATTCACTTCAGTTGTTCCCATGTCTTGCCCAAAAGAGGAGGAGGAGGAGGGGACGGGGGGGGGGGGGGGGGGGAAAGAAACGAAAAGTAAAGCCATTCCTATGTCATTTTGCTCATTCATGCGGCCTTGAGGTTTGAAGAGTTCCTGTCTGAATTAATAGTGACTTTAAACATAAATTATTTTTACTGCATTAAAGATTGGAAATGTATTGAAGTAGCATAATTCTGGACGAGAAATGTGCAATCTAAATTCTGAGAGTAAAAGGTCCTAAATTATGTAGCACTGGAATCAGATCCCAACAAGAAAAACAAACTGCTAATTAACACCTCTTTTTCCCTAGTCGTCTTCTGCTTCTTCTGACATCTGGGCTCTCCGGATTCTAAAGCCATGGTCCATTTCATCTTCTAAATCCATCTAAATCTAATAGACAGCCAAATGCCATTACTAGGAAGCAGAAAAGATCCGAAATCATTCATTCTCCTTGGTAGTTAAACTTAAAAGATGTACAACCTTTTCCCTTCAGAAAGTAGGGAATATTCATTGGGCATCTTGCCCTGGGAAATTGTCGCATACAAACCTCAACTTAGACCTTGTTAACAATCTCACGTTCTTGACCAAGCAAAATCACATGCAAACAACAGAACTAGATCAATAATTTTGAATAGCAGCAACGCAAGGAATCAGAACATACATATAGTTATTCTTTTTTGTTTTTTCAGGGTTTATCCAATTTATCATGAAAGATAAAAAGGAGCTAAAGGAACCGTGTGTTGATTGTTGTCCAAATGTGAGTTTTCTTCTTCCATATGTAAAAATGGAATAAACAAATCAATCAAATTGCGGAAGGCAGGCTTGATGAAGTGCTTCTTTCGGAGTTAAACTTCCGTTTGTTCATATTTCGAGAAAAAGTATCTCTTGTTTTTCATTCCCATTCTCATTCCCATAAGAATGAATACTATAATTCGCATAACAGTTATCAAATTGATTGAAACTCTCTGTTTTATAATGACATTAGGGAAGATGCTGTGCTCAATCGGCAACAATGATGAGCCTCGTTATTAGATAACCAGTGATAAACTTGTAAAAGCATTAGTCCAAAAGGAAAAATTAGAACTATAGAAACGATCCTCCATCTGTCAACTTGTGTCTATCGGCAGCCATGAAGGGAGTCTTTGGACGTTGTGACATGCATATATGGACTGTAGTCTGTAGTTACATCCTCAGAGACAAATCATGTAGACATGGTTGAAAATTAATCTAGTAATTAAAGCAGTTTTTTTTGGAACCTGCATTAAAATCTACAATTGGTCTAACTCTAAGCAGCACAAGCTCATTATCTTATGAATGTAGGAGGACCTTTCGTAGCCAACTGAGTCGCCAAATTCCAAAGGAAAACTTCTGGGATTGTCCATTTATACTACTACTGTGTCCTTGAACATTCCCTCAATTGAGGATCATATAAAATCCAGAAACAAAAATATACGGTGTCGCAAGCTTCGAGCGCATGAACCTATCTATGTTCGTTGATCACTAAGTTAAGTAGCAAGAATTTAGTATAAGAATACACAGAAGTCAATCCAAATTTTGATGGAAATTATTATGATTCGAAGAAGTGAACAAGAATATACAAGGAAATCCGTGTTGGTCATTGGACGTGTAACGGATTGGAGCTTTAAACTGTCAGCAACGATTATTACAGGAATTATCGTCATTCATTCGAATACCTATCCTTTATATATCCAGATATCGGCTTCCTCAGTTTTATGCAAAACAATGGAGCAAGATTTGTTAATAATGCTTTCAGCCTTCCTAATATTGATAGTTTTAGTTTCAGCTTTATTACAAAGATGGGCTTCTCCAAGGGAAATGGCGGCAATACCGGGTAGGCTGGGTTGGCCTATTGTCGGGGAAACTTTGTCGTTTATAACCGAGTTTTCAAGTGCTGCAGGCATACATAGCTTCATCAGAAAGAGACAGCAGAGGTAAATCAGCTAAGGAAGAATGCCATTAGAAACTAGATTTATAAAGATGCACTTATGTTCCTGTCCGGGATTATTCTGTTAAAAATTATGAAAACAATGTATAAGATCTTATTGATGATCATGATTTTCTGTACTAGGTATGGGAAAGTATTCAAGACTTCAGTCTTGGGGAGACTTACTGTCTTCATGACTGGTAGTGAGGCGAGTAAGATTTTGTTAACCGGAAAAGATGGGATGGTGAGCTTAAATTTGTCCTATGCAGGAAGGCAGGTTCTTGGTCCTACTAGTTTACTGCATCAAAATGGAGAAGCACACAAACGGCTCCGCAGGTTGATTGCTGAACCCCTCTCAATCAATGGCCTCAAGAAGTATTTCCAGTTCATCGATAATTTGGCCAGTGATACACTGGACAAGTGGCATGGACGAGAAATCCTGGTTCTTGAAGAGGCTTCTACAGTTAAGTTCATGCTCCTGGGTGATGTGATTCTATCCCAAGTGAAGTCTGTTCTTCTTAAAATGCTTCAACCTGTCAAATTTTGCAGTTCTCCCTCAAGGTGATCAGCAATATGATAATGAGCTTGGAACCCGCTGGTGAAGAGCAGGAGAAATTCCGTGCCAATTTCAAAGTCATGTCTTCGTCATTTTCTGCTCTCCCCCTGAAAATTCCTGGAACTGCCTTTTACCGTGGTATTCAGGTATTAAGTTCTGTCTGATATAAATGAATGGAATACAGAACAATTTGGGATTGCCTTCAGAGAGGACAGACTGCAGAGAAATTGATAAAACATTACTCCATTGACAGGCTCGGAACAGGATGTATGCAATGTTAGACTCAATCATTGCTCAGCGGAGAACTGGAGACAACTTCCAGCAAGATTTCCTAGAATCCTTAGTGAATAAGTATAACAAGCATGGCTATGGAGGAGAAGATGACGATAAACTCACAGATGCACAATTGAAGGACAATATATTGACCCTGCTAGTAGCTGGGCATGATACTACTACTGCTGCACTGACCTGGCTTGTAAAATTCCTTGAACAAAACCCTGCTGCATTGGAACGTCTACGAGTAATAATCCCTGACTTTCTAGAACAAAATCCATCTTTTCTTGAATGCTGCCAACAGAATCTAAGAAGTCATTTTACAGGAAGAGCATAGGGAAATCCAAGCTAGCAGATCAGGTCTTACATGGTCGGACATCAACAACATGCCTTACACAAACAAAGTTAGCTCCATTTCAAACACATTTCATTGTTTAAAACAAAAAAAAAATAAAAAAAAAAAATTCTCCAGCTAAATGCTCATGGCCTTTTGATTTCAGGTAATTAGCGAGACTCTTCGAATAGCCACAATTCTTCCTTGGTTTTCAAGAACAGCAGCAGAAGACTTCACAGTTGATGGTAGAATCCACCACCCTTAACATCTGGCACTATTATTGCCCAGTGACGGGATTATTTGATACTCTCAGTCTTCCTAATTTCCAAAAAATTTTAGGATGCAAAATCAGTAAGGGTTGGTCTGTCAACCTGGATGTAGTATCCATTCATCATGACCCGAAGCTTTTTCCTGACCCTCAGAAGTTTGATCCTTCAAGATTTGATGTAAGTTTCTTCTGTCTCCAGAAAATAGCCGTTTTCTTGTTTTATCCTTTGTTAACAAAATTAAGTTCTTGATAAATTGCAGGAGCCATTGAAGCCTTTCAGTTTTCTTGGATTTGGTAGTGGACCACGAATGTGTCCCGGAATTAACCTCGCCAAGATAGAAATTTGCATTTTCATTCATCACCTTGTCTGCAGATTCAAGTAAGATGAACCTCTAAAACAAATTGTGAAACATTCAACGTAGAGAGAGAGAGAGAGAGAGAGCATTTGCACTGTGTTGCAGCATCCTTGGCTAGACACGTAGAAGGACAAGGAATTGGAATGCAGACAGAAGAAGATCCAAGTAGTTCTTTGATCAAATCAAGAACTTGAAAACCATAGCGTATAAGCAAAACATAGAATATTCTAATAGTTAAGATAGCCAGAATAATTTCTTATTGCATTAGTCCTGTATAGGACATCATATTGACGCTATAGCAGAATATTCTGACTTGTTGATGCACTGTTGCAGATGGAAACCATTGGAGAAAGACGACTCTGTGATGCCAACACTAGTCCGGATGCCAAGAAACAAGTATCCAATCATGGTTGAACCACTGTAGTGCAATCTTCCATGCCAGTACCTAGCTAAAGCCTACTAAAAATCAGAAGAATACTGCAGGAAATGCATTGTATTCGGACTCAAAAGCTTACAAAGAGAAATGGTAAGAAAGCCTCCTCTCGAGTGGCAGAGGATGAATCAAATAGCTGGGATTACGAATGCTTTGCTCTGAGAATAAAAGTACCGTATTAATATATGCAAACAATAATGGAAGGCAATCGTAGTAACCTCAAATACAGTATGTATGCCTTGAGGATTTATCAAGAGCCATCTCTTGCCATTTCATCATCTAACCTGATTCTGAATAAGATGAAGTCACATTAGAAGTGCTGAGGAGTTCTGAGTTCAAATCCCTCGACCCTGTCCCTGCTTATGAAGTCCCATCCCCCCCCTAATAAGAAAGAAAGGAAAAAAATAAAGAAAAGTGTAGCACATTGGCAGCGCTCCTTAGAAGAATGCATGTTCTGATTTCCAGACCAACAAGAGGCATTCATCATGTAAGCATATTTTTGTCCTGAACGTTTAAGCATTATCTCAGTCTACTTCAACAACTATGCTAGAGCACATACAATTCCTCTTAATAATTATTGGCAAATTGGTGTCTTGGGTAATGCATCCAACAATCCCGTCTAGGGTTTATCCATGAAGGGTTCGTAAGTAGCCAAATTTTTGGCATATCAATCCATTAGATTTGGTCCAATGGCTAGAAAGGGATCAAACTGCCCACCATTCCACTTGTTCTAAGAAGCATCTTCTCAAAGGTGGAAGGATCAAAAACCAAGAACAGGTCAACTTTCTCCCTCATGGAAGCAGATTTAGCACTCCTAGATATTCAAAAGTAGAATTAAAATGGAATACAGTTTGAAATACAAGCTATACTGCCATGTTCAAACAAACATTACACAAATGAAGTGACTGCTGAAGACAAACTAACGGAGACTTTTAAGAGTCCTATCAAATGTTTCACTTGTGAAGAGGACAGGAACAGTTCCCACTTCCTATCTCAGCGGCAAGACACGGAGGCTTTACTTTATCATCTTTGTACCATATTGAACGTCCTTCAATTAATGCATCCAAGAAGCCTTCCAGCTTCTCAATCGTGACATTTGGCATCACAACAACATGTGCCATATTTCCCTGACAAGCAAGTTGCCACTGACGAACAAACTCCTCATCCCGTGGCCGCTCAAATACAACTGTGCTGCTCAGCTCATTGAGCATGGCACTTATTCCAGCTTGTCTTAGGCGATCCTTCAAGTAGTGAGCATTTCTAAGACACTTTTGGACTTCCTTCTGGAAGCCCTTGTACCCTTTCCTGTTAAGGGTGTACCACAGGAAGATTGGAGCATGGCCATTCCTACTTCCCATTATCGTAGCGTCTCTAGAAGCAAGATACTCTACATTCCTGGAGAGGGCATTGACGTGCTCTAGCCTAGTGATCTGCACACCGCATGGCATTGGACAGCCAACAAACTTGTGGCCAGAAACACTTACACTTCCAATAGGCTTTTTGAAAGTTACCTTTGGTGCCTGTCAAAAAAAAAAAAGTAAAAAAGCTGATATTGGAATGCAGGTTGAAAATGAGCCAATCATAATTACCTAAAGAGACATTCAACTTAATGTGCATTCAGTTTCACTTAGAGAATAAGGTTAATTAACTACAGTCCATGGAAATCTATGAGTAGATACCATGTTTCACGAGAAGGAAGACAGTCATAGTTTCTCTGTGGACCTAGTTCTTAGCCATGTACATGAAAGGAACAATGTCAACTTCATATTGGTGCCAAATATTCAAGTCATGATAAATTAATTAAACATACTGAATTTAAAACAAGATTTATCATGATTGTTTCAAGATTTTCCATCATTTCCCATTTCCAAGTAGCTCTCTCTCTGACCTTTGTTTACCAATACAAGTAAAAGCAAATTTTGTAACCCTTACCACCGCAGGGGTGATTGAACATCAAATTTTACACTAACATATGGCAGATAACACAATTTGCTTTAATTTCTTTTCCCTTAATTATATGAAAAGGAATGTCTTTAAGAGTGTGTAATAAGTCCACAAACAGCACTAAAATCTTAAGTGAACAAACAGGTAGAAAATTTTTATTACGCTAAGCTCTACTTCTAAAATTACTGCACCAAATATTCAGTTTCAAAAAGAGAACGACTCCACTAATTTTTAAACTTAAAGGTTACCATTTGAATGATCATGTTGACAGAAGCAGACTACAGCATATATTATTTTTATTTTTTTTCATCTGTATAGGAGTGTGTCTGCACCAATAGATAGATCTTGTATCCAGATGCCTTCATGTACCTCAATATGTGCAGAAGTTTGTGTATAACATCATAAATTGCTGCACTTGAATAACTTTAGGAGCTGAATAATGAATTTGTTTACAAATTAAAACTAAGCTTCGTTCTGTCTGCCATGATCTCAAACTCGGCTTCAGCTTGACATTAGAATTCAAGTCAGACTCAAGTACCAGCTATAGCTTCTACAGATTATGTTTGAGCCAAGCTAAAATAAGCAAAAGTTTCAGGACCAATTTCCTTGCGAACTGTGGGAATTCACATTCATATGGACAAAGGCAGATTAAAATGAAAAGTGTATGCTTACACGCTTTACAAATGGCATCATAAGACCAAATAAAGCTCCGTCGCAGTGGATGTAAAATCTATCATGTGAAAAACCACATTCTTCAAGAGTCTGTATCACAAGATCAAGATCATCAACAGCACCTTTAACCGTGGTTCCTACAAATACAGAATGAATTATTCAAAAAGCCAATCGCTATATGCCTGAAGATGGATGTATGGCCTGTTTCCCCCTTTTTATTCCCCACTTCCATATGAGTGAGTCCAAGAGTCAGGAGAGGGGAGGCCAGAACACAGGAGAGCGCCATGAGAGAGAGAGAGAGAGAGTACCTATGTTTACATTGATGATCGCTGGCTTTTCTTTGTTAACAAGCAGCTTAGTCTTGAAATCTGCACAATCTATCTCGCCAGTGACTGAGGTATCCACCTTTACGCATTCCATTCTGTACATTCGTGCTGCCTTGAAGACAGAATAGTGAGATTCTCTTGATGCATACAGAATTCCATCAGGAAGGACTTCTCTCCTGCAAGAGCATTCACAAGCATGTCATAATAATCCTCAGGGCAGGTGATGAAGCATTTCACATTAAATTTAGACATGAAGCTCAGCTAAACAGTACTAACCCAACAATGATTCCATGAAGATTGCCCTCAGTACCACAGTTAGTGATATATCCCCAATATTCACTCTTCTCAATTTCCCACAACCTAGCAAACCAATCCAAAACACCCACTTCAAACTGTCTTGAGTGGACGCCGTAGTTGCTCTCTATAAAAGGATCTCCAAGATTGTTAATGGAGAAATGCTGCAGCTGAGCAAGAGCTCCATAATCAAAGTCCAAATTATATGGATACCCTGCAATAGATTTAAGATATGCTTATCAACTTTCCATGAAATGTAAAGGAGGCCCTCTTCAAAGCCAATAGAAAAGGCTTGTGAAGGTCGAAACTTGCACTTTGGCTATTTGTCCTCAAAACAAGAAATTGTGTATAAAAAAAAAAAAATCCTTTGAAACAAACATGCGAAGACAAATTCAAAATGGGTCTCCTTTATTATCTTATATACAGCACATTCTACCAAAAGAAGACAACATGAAAACCAAAAAGTAAAAGGAAAAGTATGAACTGTACGCTGAAAATAAGACAAATGAGACATTAGACCAGTATATAAATCACAAAAAGGACGAATTATCAGAATCTACAGGAAAAAATAGCAGCATTAGAATCTAAAAACACACCAATCAAAAAAGAAAAAGAATCTGCAACATGCAAAGGACCAATTCAATTCCAGGTTTGGCAAGGACTTGTCAATTAGAGCTTCCTGACATAGCTCGCTCTTATTAGCTCAAATTCCAGTATTTATAGCTCTTTCCAGCTTAAAGCTGTATTGAGGTTAATTTGTTCTCAGTAGCATTTTTGCCTTGTTCTAAGCATAAAAAATGCTGATTCTAAGAAGCAAATATTAAGATTCAGCTTCTGAAATTAAATTCTGACTTTTGAAATATATTAGAGTTTATGAATAAACAAAATTAAAAGCAAATGTTTTGATTTTCCAAGTTTTGCAACTGATTTTAAATAAAATTTTCATCCGCCTGTCCACAACAATCCCATGGAGCTAGTAATCACGAGTAAATTTCTGCACATTATATTATCCGGATAACTACAAAATTATAAAATTAGAAGCTCACGTGCATTTTATGTATACTAAGAACAATTTTCTCAAGCTTCACAAATCTCAGAAATGAATCCAATAAATCCGGTCGTATTGTTCAACTTATTTTCCTAAAAATCATACTTTTAGCTCATTCAAGAGGAAATAATAAAGAAAAACACGCAATTTTTCCAAAAATGTTGCCGTTTTGAAAAAAAAAAAAATGAGATCAACGATTTATATAGTGGAACACAGAAAATAAACGAGAAAAGAAAATACATTTGTACCTAAATGGTGCTTGGTTCTTTCAATAAGAGTTTTCCGGTAGCGAGCCAAGACACTAGCCATGTAGGCCTCTTTATCTCCGGTAGACTCGTCGTCGGCGTCCGGCTCCGTGACGGCGAGGCAAGTGGTATGCACGTTCCGTCCAAGGACAATCTCTCTCTTCTCCGCCTTGTCTCCATTGACTTCGGCCCCCTCAGCATCTCCACGATCCACTACCGATTCCACAGCCACTGGCGGGACCGGCTCTGACACCACCGCCATCGGATCGAAGTAATCGACGTCCCTTACGGTCTGAGTATCCTCCATTACTGATTTTCCGTTGGGTAATGGAGCAGATGACATCGTTCCGAGTCCTACCGTAGAGCTTCCCACCATTTGCGAGTAGCCTTTTTTTTTTTGTTTCCTTGTTGGGGAAGGATCTGAGTGTATATAGAATCTGCTTTTGGGGGTTAGTTTGTAATTATGGAAGAAATAGCGGGGGAATCGGGAAAGAGCCAAGGTGGAGCTGAAGGCTAGAGGAGCATTGGAGCAAGACGATGGAAAACTGAACGGCGAAGGTTCTACATATAGAAGTCTTTGCTAAATTTTTTTTAAAATTATATTATTTTTAGATTAACAGTTTGATGAAACGGTGTCGTATTGAGGCTGTTCACTCGGGGACCTGTGCCCGCGGCAACTCGTCAAGTGGACTGTGGACCGTGGACCATATCACATGGGAGCTTTTGAGATTTTGTCTGTGCCACATTTCTATAATTCTCTTCCCTAATAATGGGAGGAGGAGTAGTTTTTTGTTTTTTTTTTTTTGTGATTTGGTGAATTGCAGATTCATCGGGGTGTTCTTCATGGTTTATGGTTTGTACAATTGTTAGTTTCAATGGCAACATAAAATGGACGTACTTACAGAATAAATATAACTACTAACACACATATTAACATATATATATATATATATTATTGCAATGTATAAAAATATGGATTAATTTTCCATATACTGACTTTATCATTGGATATATAACACATAATCTGAATTTAAATTTGAAACTCAAATTTTGCATACGTGTCGTATATCCAACCATAATAGTGTGTATACTGTTAGTATATAGTATAAGATTGTAATGTATAAAAACATAATAAATTTTAATCATTAATTGAAATTTGTGTGTCACAATCAATCTTTTTTCCTTAAAACAATTGCACAATTAATCAGTCCATACATTCACAGTGATAATATCATATTTACAGATAAAGTTTAGGCTTGAATGTTTTACAAAATGAGTAGGTTTCTTTATCAATTTAATAAATCCAATAGAACTTGCTACCTTCACATTCATAAAATTTTAAAGGGTTAATGTCATTCAAAAAGAACCATTTGCATGTTTTTCCTTTTTACTCGATCACAAACTTCACCAATGATCACTTTCCGCATATGCAAAAATTCCTACAAATTAAGTAGTCTTAATTAGGTGGATGATCACTAGATAAAAAGTTTTCCTTTCATGTATTTCACTTGAGAAAGTTATTACAAAGTCTATAACAATTTTTCAAACGTTGGATTAATCAAGCGACGCGGTCATTGTAATAATGTTTGCCTTCTTCTCAAGGACTAATATGCAATTTAAAAAAATATGAATTATTCATAATATTTCTTTTCTTTTAACCTCTAATGTCCAATGTCAATAGGCTTCTCTTAGGCCTTGCCATGGTAACCACAAGGACAGTTTCAAAGGTCTAGGCATGTTTATGGCTGATTGTTAACATATGAAGGGTGACATGAAACTCCACCGAAATTCAATTCCCTAAGAAAAAAATCTATATAACCACAGAGTTTTGGCTCAATAGTCACAAAAAAAGGATTAAATCCCTGTTTGGACTATAGGTCAGAGTATTCCTTTGGTACAGTCGGATTTGTATACCTACTAGTCTCTTACACAATCTCGTTAGACTTCCCCTTTCTGTAAAATAGGATAAATTAGATTATAAAAATATCATCGTTGCGGCAAAAAAAAAATCTATAGACATGGGGATCTAGATTTCTATAAGTTATGCAACAATACGTCTTTCTATGACAAACATCCAAGAATGCTTTTAACTTATCGTTTGCAATCCATTTAAATAAGCACAACCGGGTCTCTGAAATAGAGATTGTTCTGTTTTCTTTTAGTACTAGTATACCCTCTTCTTTGTATTTATTTTCTGCTTATTGTTCATGAGATACAAGTAGTGTAGGATGAGCTCGGCAAAGCAGGAATTTCTGTTGATTTAATACACAAAGTTTCAAAAACAATAGTTTCAAGTGTATATATATATACATACTAATAATTATTATCCTCTCTTGTATTTATATACTTTCCCCTATTTAATCTTACCTACTCTCCCTTGTATTTATTTACTTTTTCTAATTAATCTTATATTTTTAAATATATAACACTTAAAATATATCTTAACGGACAGACCGTTTAAGAAAACTTTTGTTGTTTCCTATACTTTATGATGAAAAATCTCACTGTTAATTTAATACACAAAGTTTCAAAAACAATAGTTTCAAGTGTCAAGGTCAAAATGTTGAGGGTGCCAAGGGAGATTACATGTTAATGCGCATCAATGAATCTCTCACCATACCATATCAGGAACCTTCAAGAAGTAGCTTTAACCAGGATTCATATCAGATTTCCAGGGTGAAGACCCTTAGGGTTGGTGGATAAGGGATGATTCTGAATTCTGATGGACCCAAAATGTTGCTACATTCTTCATTCTTGACGTGGTTTTGTACATGATGCATGTGCTGATTATCTGGCTGTACCCACATCAAAATTATTGGTGTTGGTACCATATGTAATTGACTAAGGATCTTTTTCTTTTAATCATGTGCAATGAAGTGTATCCATATCCAATTTTGCAGCGGGATCATGTCTGACTTGCTAGCTCAGGCAAGGGCTTGGTGCTAATAAAATCAATATCGAAATACAGAACTTTGATGATACATACTTTCAACTTACTAGTCAGGCATGGGCTTAGTTCTAAAAAAATCAACCAAAAGCAAAATGAGTTCGAGAGGTTGCCAGTTTAAGTGTGGAGACGTAGTATTGCATGCATTATTTTGCAAAGAAGCAAAATAATTTTTGTCAACTATTATTGGCTAAAAGCATTTAGGTGATTTTGCACTTTTGTTTGCTTATATATACAAAGTTCAGGAACAAAAGTTTCAAGTTCAAATTGATGAAAGTCAAAACATTAGGAAAAAATTGTTCAAAACGTCCCTCACATTTTGTCAAATAAATTTTTTTCGTGTTTTACTTTTAAAACATTAACTTTACCTCCCTTACAAATTCAAATTAACAAAATTCAGTCCTAATCTAAGTTTTTGACTACTTTTTAACTTAAAATTTCCATGTGATCCACATATAATCATTTTTTATGTACAAAAAGGTCATATCTCACTTTTTTAGTGGCAAAAATGAATATGAACTTGGTCAGATATCACTTTTTTAGGAAAAAAAATAACAATCACTCAGATCAGATTATGTATTTTTAGAAACAAAATTGAATATGGATCGGATCATTTATTTAACTATAAATGAAATCTTTGCTCTAAAAAAATAATCATACGGGGTCACATGATAGATTTAGAGTAAAAGGTGATTGAAAATCTAGGTTGAGATCAAATTTTATAGATTTTAAATAACAAAATTTAGTGACATGTGAGAAACATTTAAAACGGTTCTCCCAAACATTAAGGGTACCAAGTGAAATTTGGCGTTTCCGCCTTTACGCGTTAAGGCGTTAACACGTCAGACGGTTGGAGAATCTCGCACCATATCAGAAATCAGAAGGTGTGGGTGACGGTCCTACGTGGAAAAGCAACTATTCACGTGGACCCAACCTTTGATAGATTCTTGAATCTTGACGTGTCCTAATTTATTCCCCGTTTGTGCCCACCGGATCGTTCTTTCTTAGCAAGTGTAGTCGCTTCCAACCGCAGATACCGGCAGGGAGGAGACACGGGAGCCTAACACGTAAGAGGGTGAAGGAGGCAGGAGCAATATATATATAAAGTGTGGGGCACGAAAATAAATAGGAGGAAAATACAAGTTGTGGCCTGGACATAAATACGAACATATTGATGTGAAACTAGGGGTGCAATAGACCCGAAATGAGTTCAACTGAATTAAAGCTGTGCTCGAGATCGATCAAGCAAAATAATAACAGTTTGAACTTAACATGATGAGATTGTGAAAGAGTTCGTACTCGACTCGATTGAGTTCGATCGTTAAGCTAGGATTTAGGTCTTTTTAGAAATTTTTGTATTCCTTTAGATTTTTGAAGGGATAAAATTGAATCTAATGCCCATGAAACTAGTTGTACTACAGAAGAGAAGAAATGAAATTTCTCAATAAGTTCTGAACACTTATGCAATTTAAGTCATATAATATAAGATAATTATTTAATATATACATTAATGTTTAATAAGACTCGACGAACTATCGAACATATAATACTCTGCTTGCACTCGGCTCGTTGGGACAATCAAACATGCTCGCAAGTTACTCGGTTCGTATACACCTCGAAGTGAAACTTTGTTTCAGAGGAAAAAAGAAATGGATCCTTATGAATGAAAGTCAAAGTTAAATTATTGAATTTGTCACATTAGTTAATGAATAGTTATGTGTTCATGATTTGGAAAATTGTCATATGATTGTGAATCTATCCAGAAATAAAAACACTTAAAAGTTGAACTATGAACAAAAACAAAGCACTCAAAAACCTGCCCAAATTAAATATTAAACAAAGTAAATATAGAAATTAAGGGAAAAGAACAGGCATTGATTCTTGTTGAAAAAAATAAACAACTAAAAATTTGAATTATCACCCAAATTGAAATACTTAAAAACTAGCCAAGTTAAATATTAAACATAATAAGTACAGAAATTAACAAAAAGAAGCACGTGAAAAAAAAGACAGGATTGATTATTGTTAATAAAAATAAAACACTTAAAATTTGAATTATGAACAAAAATAAATCACTTAATACCTGCCCAAATTAAATGTTAAACACAACATTTAAATTAAGGAAAAGAAGTTGGCAAAAAAGAAGAAGGGAGTGATTCTTGTTAACAAAAAAATAAAATAAATTTTTTTTTATCCTTCCATCCCTACCTACCATGCACAAGATTTGAATCTTAAACCTGATGATGAGAAAAACTCTAAGAGCCCTCCTCTAACCATTGGAAACACTAAAAATTGACCAAAAAACTTTTAATATGTGTGTGTGTGAGATATGATAAGTAAAAAGGATTGAAATTAATTGTTTAAAAAAAGAGAACACAAGTCACTAAGGAACGTGAACAATAACTTTGTCTACTTGGCCGCTTGAGAGACCTCCCACTTTGCAAAACGTGAAAAATACCTAATTTAACAAATCTTTTGGAGGAACTAAACCAATCTTTTGGAGGAGGAACTAAACAATGTTTAAAATATGTGTCAAAACTATGAATTAACAGATCCATTGAAATTTTCATAAATGTACTGAA